AGACAGCCTCAACTCTTAAAAACAAACTCGAGAAAGCAGCAGCAGCACTTAGCAAAGAAGTCAGCCACCAGGAGACACTCAAGCAACGAGTAGGCTGCGGTGCCATCTGCTGCTGCTGCTGCTGCTGCTGCTGTTACCTGCTGCTGTTGCTGTTGCCCGCTGAAGCTGCCGCTGCTGCTGCAGCGCTGCTCATGCTGTTTGTTGCGCCACTGCTTGTCTTCCTGCTGTTGCTGCTGCGTCTGCTTTTGCTGCCTGCTGCTGCTGCTGTTGCTCTTGCTGCTGCTACTCCCTCTGCTGCTGCTGCTTCTGGCTCTCCTCCTGCTGCGGGCTCTTCCGGAGCAGCAGCCACGCAGTTGTCTTATTTGTTGCAGCAATTATGGCAATTAAAACTATTTATAATTAATTTAATTATTTTTGTTTTTTGTTTTCAAAGTTGGAAAATATAACTGAAGAACTCGAAAGCCAAAAAGAAGAAACCCAAAAAGTCCGCAGCGACCTCTTGGCCCTGGAGCAGCAGCACATGCGCCTCATGGCTGCTGTTGAGCAGGAGCGGGAAGCAATCAGGCAGCAGCAGCAGCAGCAGCAGCGGCAGCAGCAGCAGCGGCAGCGGGAAGAGGCGCAGCAGCAGAGCCGGGCGCGCGCAGGAGCGGCAGCAGCAGCAGCAGCCGATGCGACACAGCAGCAGGTGCAGCAGCAGGTAACGCCTCTTAGTGCTGCAGTGCAGTAAATGCTGCTGCTACTGCTGCTGCTGCTGTTGCTGCTGCTGCTTCTCCTGCTACTGCTGCTCTTGCTACTGCTGCTAGTGCTGCTACTGCCATCGCTGCTGTTGTCACCGCCACTACTGCTGCTACTGCTGTTGCTGCTGCTGCTGCTGCTGTTTTTGCTTCTCCTCCTACTGCTGCCACTACTGCTGCTGTTATTGCTGTTGCGATTCCTGCTGTTACTATTACGACTACTGCTGCTGCTATTGTTCGTGCTGCTGCTGCTGTAATTGCTGCTGCTGTTGCTGCTGCTGTTGCTCCTGTTACTGCTGCTGTTGCTGCTGCCGTTCTTGCCGCTCCTGGTGTTGCTGCTGTTGCTGTTGCTGCCGCTGTTGCTGCTGCTGGCTCTGCTGCTTCTGGTGCTTCTACTGCTGCAATTTAATATTTCCTTTTCCAATATCTTTTTCCCATTTCATATATTTATTTGTTTTTTCGTGTTTTTCTCTTTTTGAATAATCTTTTTGTCATTTATTTGTTCATGAGGCACCTGAAGAGCAAGCAGGAGCAGCAGCAGGAGCAGCAGCAGCAGCGGCAGCTCGTGTGGCGTATCTGTGCGTGCAGCAGCAGCGGCAGCAACTGCTGCTGCTGCAGCAGCAGCAGCAGCAGCAGCTGCAGCAGCTGCAGCAGCTGCACAGGGAGAGCCGCTCGCGGTGGCTGCGGAAGCTGCAGACTTACAAGCGGATGTACATACAGCTGAAGTCCAGAGCAGCAAAACTTTTGAAAGAGAGAGATTTGCTGCTGCAGCACATCAAGAGAATAAGACAAGATGGAGAAGCAGCAGTGCAGCAGCTGCTTGCTGCTCCCCCCACCCAGCTGCCGCAGGTTGAGCAGCACTCGCTGCTGCTGCAGCAGCACCAGCAGCTGCAGCAGCAGCTCCAGCAGCAGCAGCAGCTGCAGCAAAGGGAAGAAGAGGAAGAGCTGCTCAGGGGAGAAAGCTGCAGCAAATGGAAGTCTGCAGCAGCAGCAGCTGCTGCTGCTGCTGCTGCTGCAGACATGTCCCTCCAGCAGCTGCTTTACCCCATTCCTCAAGAGTCCTCCAGTACCACGTTGAGCTTAACTGCTGCTGCTGCTGCTGCTGCTGCTCAGTTTAAGAAGCAGCAAGTAAGCACAACTCAAATTCCTCAGGCCCCGCTGCTGCAGCAGGACCGATCAGCGGCAGCAGCAGCAGCCGCTGCTGCTGCTGCTGCTGCTGCATCTGGCAGCACTTCTATCCCCACAACGCCGCGGCAGCAGCAGCATCATCAGCAGCAGCAGCAGCAGCACGCCCTGCTGCCAGGACTCTCGCTGCAGAGCTCTCTGTCAGCTATTTCTCTCCCCCGCGCACATCTGGGGGCCCCTGGGGTCCCCCCTCCAGTTCTTAGGACCCTTGGGGGGCCCCCGGGGCCCTGGGGGGCCCCCAAGCCCTTAGGGGCCCCCGTACCCCTGGCAGC